CAGACGTGCCAGATGTACCAGCAACAATAGGTGAAACGTCCTCTACGGAAGATATTCTTCATTAAATATAATGAATTATTTCTTCACAAACAATGCTCGAAAATACATGTACTTTACCTGTAACTTTTTTTTTCTGAGACTTTTTCGGTTTTGGTGGCATTGTTTTTGAAAAATGTTACGGGGCACAACATCATGATTAACATTTATCATGTGTATCACAGCCAATAAAATCGATTATTGCGTCATATTATCCATTATGCGTTAATTCGACTCGTAGATTGCGTGTCCGATATAGACAAACTTTATTATTTAATTATTTAATAAGCGTCCGAGCTCTACAATACTACATATAAAAAAAGTGGTGTACTCGTCCAATGTAATAGATTTTATCACGAGTACATAATCCCCCAGTTGCAGATTGGTCCGATGCTAAAAATAATAATGAAAATTTAACGTTGTTAAGATACACCTTTCCTTAGTAATAAAAAAATATAGCCACCTACTTCTAACAATGATAGGATAAACAGTAATAAGTTGTATTTTTTGCGGAGCGGAATAATTACCCTCACCAAAAGCACGAGCCACCAACTCTAATTAGAGTAATTTGGTGATTATGCGTCTATTGCACCCCACAACTTGCTAGGCAAATCGCGACAATTGACTCAGGTAATTCTCTTATCAGCACAAAAAGAACAACCGAACAAGAAATGGTATTTGCTATACTAGATAGGATGTCTTATTAACGAAACCCTCGAATCCTTAAAAATAAATATACCCTCGTCGGATCGAATACGATATCAAAGTCAGAGGAAGAGTTGGTTGGTATGTCAACTGGTACGTGGGGAGATTCAATTTGTTCGTGTCCATGCTCGCGTTCCCACTTAAGCCTCATATTTCTGCGTTTTCGGGCTCCCCGCGACAACTTCGTCTTCTTAGTTAATACCTCCTCTGACATTGCTTCTTCTTTCCGCTTCTTAGAGTCTGGTGGGTTCATTGTAACGGTCTGTGGAAGATTGAATTTAAAAAAAACTACGGTGTATTATTAATAAACAAAAGCAACGCAGTTCGACGAGCCGTTAGAATTATATAATCCTAGAGCCGAGTCCCTTTGTTCTCATATATTCGAAAAAAGATTATATGTTATTGAATTGGCAGGGTGAGAAGGCGGGTCGAATAGCGTGAACTTTTGCGTGAAAAAAAGAAAGTGGCAATGCATGTTAATTTATGATTGGCTGTAATGATATAAAAAATAATTATACGCCAATCACGTAATGCATTTCGATTTCGATTTTATTTTTTGCTTTGCATTTATACATAGCGGGTCTAACCACTCTTTCTGCTAATCCTCTGACCACACACAATAAAGATGTTCGCAAGAAGTTTTAATACTTCTATGCTAATAAAGTCTTACCACTTTCTTTAAACCAACTCAAGAGTTTCTCTAGAATTCTCCCTCCTTCCCCCTTCTCTCTCTTGTTTACAATCTCCTTTGAACAAACTGGATTTCTGTGACCTGTAAAGTTCAACTTCCACCTTTACTACCTATGGCAAGAAAGTTCCTAAAGGAAGAAGGATTAACACTGAAGTACCTCTCACCTTTCAGTTATGGTTGAGATAACAGAGGTTCTGTTCCAGTTAAAAGATTCACTTTTTTACCCTTTGACTAGTGTCTGTGGCCTCTTAGAGCTACCTTTTTTATGGCTTTTTGAGAAATTTTGCTTACCCCAGTTTGACCCTGAAATTTTGGGTAGCATGGATCTCATAAACTCTGATTGGTTGACACAAAACATGTTGGACAAGATTGATAAATAAACACCTATTGGTCACCTCACATATCTGAATGCATTTCCTCAGCTCTATAAGAACCTGGGATCCACCATAAGTCACATGTTATCAGTGTAGATGAATATAGGACATGCTATCAACATATCATTGGTTTCTTCAAAAAGAGTCTGTTCAACCATGGAAAAGGTCACAAAATGTTGCATTTAATTTTTGGAGATGCAGTCACCTATCTCTGGTCATTAGATAGGTTCTTCTAGCTCCATAAAATAGGTAAAGATTCGAAGATAGGACACTGATTCCTCTATCAATTCCTTGACTCAGCTTTTAGGACACAGAGAATAAACTATATGAATAGTAAACTTTACTGCACTGTTATATAATGACAAGAATCAAAGAAAATAGTTTGTGTATTGACCTACTGGTATCAATATATACATCCCTACCCCCAACCTCTTCCCATTTCCAAATGAAATTAAACCCTCCTTTCCTTCCCCCATATCTCCTCGAAAAAGTGACTCAGTAGTTATTTTAAAAACTTCTTCTTCCTATTAAGTATTAGTAACTTACTCCCATGTATGATCTGCACTGATATTTTGGGAGCTCCCTTAAAGGAGCACAAGTTGGTTACCAAAGGCAATGACTAAGATTTCCACATTTTCAAGAACCTAGGTAAAGGTATCTGAAGCATAGCTGATATTGCGCAAAAATTATTGGGGATCTGAAATATGATCAAACCATGTACTGATGTTTCCACTATCATATATAAATAGGCATTTAGCACTATTTAAGAGGTTTTAATGAATTGCCTGAATAAAATTTTCTTCCTCCTGTATAAGCCACATAGCAAAGAATTGTATATATAGATTAACTATCCTATCCATTTATTTATTTTCTGACTCACCTTTTCCCTTCTTAAAAATTTTTTTCAGCACTAGTGACCTTTCACTAGTTCTCACTCTAGAGACAGCAATATGCCCAAAGTTGACCAGTATAATTATATCATTAGCTTTATAGGTTTATAATTATATTTTTAATATGTACTATTTTCATATTTAAAACTATATCCAATAAAGCAAAGGCTGAGCTGGCAGTAAAAAAAAAAAAAACATAGTGGGTCTAACTATTCTCATTTATAGTATCCAATAGTTGACTACCTCTGGAGGCATCAAGCATACTAATATCACTACCATTTTGTGATGCTCTATATATTGAGGCATTAACACAATGGTTAGAATTTTCATTGTCACTATAGATTGAAGTAACATTAGCTAAATTACTATTGTTGGAATCTTTGCCATTATTTATACCGCTTTCATTATCTTGATTAATATTCTCTTTTCTATTTCTAGGATTTCTATGGACAGGAGAAGCTGAACGATTCATTTGATTGGTGGTGGACTCACGATGGCTTGATATCAGTGTTACTCTATATGATGTTAGTGGTGTACGATTATGATAATGTCTTCTTGTGGATGTATTTTTATTGTGCAATCTATCAAATGGGGGTTTCTATATTTTCATGAGTAAATACAGGTACAGTGGTTTCCATAAAAAATGTATCATCAGCATTGTCAATCTTTAAATCGGCGTTATATAAGCAAGTCAGATCCGATTAAAATAAAATTTAACATATAGATTATGCGTTAAATAATCTATTTAATAGTTAAATTTATTACTGATTAATAAAAAAACTTTTTTTATATTATGATTAATTGATGATTGCCAGTGCATTATTTTTGGTGTTTTGCAGACAAAATAAAAAAACGCGTTTTTTTTTAAAAAATTTCTATATTGACAAATGCCCTGAAAACAATTAACTATTGAATAAAGGGCAAAGACAATTACTCTACTTGAGGAGGGTTATAGTCTACGCCAAGTTGCCACTAAACTTGACAATAAAGTTTACCTTTCTACAATTTTAAGACTTAAAAAAAATATACAGAAACAAATTAACTAAAAATAAACCTATTTCTGGCCATCCTTGCAAGCTTGCTCCATGTGATAAACATAATATTATTCAAAAAATAATGAAAAATGAGTGTAAAACAGCTGTAGACATACAAAAATAATTAAAAGTCTATGAAAAAATAGATATTAGTGCTAATACAATCCGTAGAGTACTTAAAAGAAATGGCCTACATATATATTCAAGATACAAGAAATTTCTATTAAGCAAGATTCACAGAAAAATTCGCTTAAATTTTGCAAACAAATATAAAAATTGGACCATTGAGGACTGGAGTAAAGTTATTTGGT